AATCATACTTGTCTGAGTGCCCTGCAATTATCGTGTTCATGGTTCCTAGAAGCCTTTGTTTCTGGTAGCTTCTTGCTACTAGTAGTAATGGCCTCCACCCTAGTAGCTTCTTGCTACTCTTCTTTGGTGGCGCAGGCCTGAAATGAGACCACTGCTGCTTTTCATGCTCGTGGCGTGGACTGCGAACCAGTTCATCGTGCCCATCGGCTCCCCAGTCTTCGCGTCAACAATCTTGATCAAATCCATGTCGTAATCCTTGACAGTCGAAACAGCAAATTTCTAGGTTGAAGGAGTCATTTCACATCATTTCACCCTATCTGCCCACTGGTCCGAAGTGGCTTTGCACGGCCCTGTCGCAAGGAACCTTGAAAATGGCCAAGTGCCCCCCAATTTCTGCTTTCCGAATTTCCATGTGTGCCGCTCTAGGTGCAATGGGAGCCACGGCGAAGTTGTCTGCATGATTTCACTTGTGCGGGCTACCGTGCATCTGGCTAATCTGGCCTAAATCACACATCTGCCGCGTGCAAGGTACCATGTTGCTGGAGTAGTTGGCCCGCTCCTGCTGAGTTGGATCAGCGCTTGGCAACTGAAAGCCCCCGAGCCTACTCCAAACAAAAACACAAGAAACACATCGAAAACATTCCAAAGCAAGCCCTATGCCCCCTGTCTATGCACACGTGACCCCGAGTGCTCCTCCTCAGGATTGTGCAAATAAGAGGTGGGGCTCCGGTTCCGCGAGGCACAGTACCTCGGCTCCACAACAGCGTCACTGGACTAACAAAAAACAGCAAAAACAAAACCAGTAGGAAGCTACTTGTTCCTAGTAGTAATGCCAGGAGCTACTAGTACATGACATGGGAAAAACACACTTACATGCGTGTTATTTTATGCATGACATTCCATGACTATCCCTTCTTCTCGGAGCTAAATATCTCTACATCTTCGGCCAAGCTGCGGCATGGGACATCCTGGCACCGTGGTGTTGTCCACCGGGCCCAGGCCCATGGTCACCTGCGGGTTTCGTTGCACTAGCTCGAAGGAACCTAAGAAGTTCAACATTGGAACTCCTTCGCCGGGCGGATGTTGTAGTGGGCCATCTTCACCGCTTCGGTCATGCCATCCACAAGCGCCTCACATTTTTGTTCACTCCATTCTAGCAAGTCTAGCTCGCACCCTTCACACCTTGTATGTCATATGTTTCGCCCCCTTCGTCCACCACGATTGAAAATTCCAAAGTCGTGTTGCGACGCGAAGATCACGAGAACTCGAAGACTGCCTGGGTGGATTGCTTGACATATCCAAAGGACGACACCTGGTAGAGGTAGTACCTCCAGTGGTGCAAGCTGGCAGGTGCACGTGCTTGCTGGGAAGAACCGCGCAACAGCATCTTCTTAAACCAGCTAAGCCAGCACCTGCTGACCAAGTTACGGGCTTGTTCCAGCTGGGCCCATATGGGTGTGGCTTGGTCCAATGATAACGTTGTGCCTGCCAAATCAGGACCATTTCGGAATGTTTGCACAACAAAAAACTCGAATTAACATGCAAGGAGGGTGTCCAAAGTATGCAAACATCCTGCAAGTACGGCGCGGCCGATGCAAATGCTGGCGGTCGCACCTGCTATACAAGCCAGGGAGTTCCATAAGCAGTCGCCCTTCCAATCCTTGAATCAGAGACTCTGTAGCAGCCCAAGTGTCCACCGCAACATAGACCATGCGCCTGAGTACATAATCATTAATTGTCGGGCAAGCTGGAATGGTGTCTCGCACACTTTCTGAACAGAAACATCGACACCAACGAAAACAACACATTGTTGCATTGTAATTGCGCGTGGAAATTTTGCTGCCCCTCACCTTTCATGAGAACGATTCCAAACCACCAAATTCAAAAATATGTTTTTAACCCCTTGTTCAAAATTGTGTTTACAGTGCTGGCTCAACATTGACACAACCAGAGCCGCTTGTTGGCTTCAGGATCCAAAAAGATGAAGGCTCGCGCGTGCAAGCCTTGGCATAAAAGCGGAACTGCTTTACTAGGCCCTGGGCACAACACTGGGACTTCCCGTTTTGCAGCTCTTCTGGGAGTGATCACTTCACTGAAGCCAAATTCAACTAAAGCCGCGCATGACTTAACTTGACGTCGAGCCATTGTGGCAATCATGAATACTTGCCACCTGAAACACGCCTTGGCAGCTACGACCGCGACACCATGCTTATTCAAACAAGGCTCGCATGTGAATTCCAGTGACTCGCTGATCCTGATCTGCATAGCCCATCATCACGACTTCCTGATAAGTTACGGCGCGGCAAAACATCACACCCAGCCCTTCCTAAACCCATGCCCCACAGTCATCGTCAAACCACGTTGGCCTGCTGGGCACAAAAGTCTTCAACTGTGCCCAGGCACGAACCCTCACATCAACAAAATCGAAATGCACACAAATGATCACACATTCAAAGCACCGAAAAATTGCTAGCTGCTAGTTGCTGCTCGTAAGCTTGAGGCCGGCATATTGGCGGCCCGAAACTGTATACACCCCGTTGCACCCAAGAAAATCTGCATTGCCAAGTTTTACGTATATAAGATTATATAAGCCGTAAACTAAGCCGTAAGCAAAGTTTGAACAACTGCAGCAAGTACACGAGTGAAGCTGCCCTACTCACCTACTCTGGCTCAAGTGGCTGCTGCCGGTCCGGTGACGTCAGCAATGCCAACTCCTTGGTGGGACACTCGACCAACCCGTTGGGAGCGGTGGAGCGTAGAGACGCAAAGCAAAGGATGGTCAGCCTTTGCGGTTCTTGTAGCCAGCCTCCCCCAAGATTAAACAAACCAAGAAAATGACAGCCTACAAATGGCTACAATACCCCACGGCTCTTGACCTCTGTTGGGTCCAAAAAGAAAACGTCCTAGAGTCTAATTGATGAGAACCGTTTCTGTACCTTTGATACCTGCTTTGTCTTTGACAACCTGTACTAACGACCACACTTGACACATCATTTGGCCCATTCGGCATTTAGGGCCGCCGACCGACATGGTACTCAGCGCCGGCCACGCCCAGCAAAACAAAGATCTTCGCAAGCCTTCAAGGTTCAAGGGGAAGGAACTAGACCTAAATGTAGGGAACAGTGTTGTGCACATCTTGATTTCCAACACATGTGTCAGTGAACGCACGGCTCAATTCAGGCCACCCCCTCTCCTTCTCCCTCTCCCTCTCCCTCTCTGTCTCTCTCTCTCTCTTTCTCTCTCTCTCTCTGTGCGCGTTCAAGCCACTGTTGAAATGTGATTGGCCTGAATAATTACTGGAGCTTAGTTGGAATGTGCATACATTGCCAAAACATGCCAAAAGAATTTGTGCGGCTGAACCACATCCGCCAGGACAACATGGCTGGCCGTTCCAAGAAGCAAAATGGCTTCGATCGGCTTTGTGCATTGGATGAGAGTTCGTCAATTTACAGTGACACCTTTCCACATAACCTCAATATCAGCGGTTTTGCAACGTGTTTCAAGCTGAGAATGCTTTGCGGGATTTGCTTTTGAATTGATAGCACAGCTCCAAGTGCCTGCTTGCCGTTGAGCACGGTAGCCTGAGAAAAGAGTTACTCAACAATGTATATATCTATAACTACGTGCAAATTTCAGCGTGCAAATCCATAGTGCATCCGCAAAATGTTTTGCCTGAGCTTACTCACCTGGTCGGGCCAAGCCACGCACGCCAGCCGCGGCCAACAGCCCCGCAGCAACTTGCCTAGCCTCAATGAGATTCGCAAACTTATTTTTATCCCGAATTGCATTGTTGTCAAGGCGCCCTACAGTACAGTCATGCAAGGGTGTGTTGTGCTAATTTGTATTGATCTTTGCTGCCGCATTCAGCATCTGCATCAACAAAAGAACGTCTTTGTGGATCTTGCAAGCCACGCGGCCCACAACGAGGGGCTCCTTTCCCCAGCCGTCGAAGTAGCACAGGCGGCGGCCGCCTCAGCAGCCCAAACCAAGAAGCAATTTGAACTACAAACGGTGGTTCGTGCGTTGCACAAAGTGTTTTCAAAGCAGCTTTTGCAGATTCAATTCAAAGGAGACATAAAAACAAAAACACTTAAAGTCAAAGTTTGTCTCTCGCTATACCACCTATATAATATGCAATTCTGCTCGCCCGAAATGTTCATAAGGTACCCACTTTTCCAATCCTGTGCGCTTGCCGTGCTACAGGACGCATGCGCTCCGTCGCCTCCCAAAGGTTCTTGCGCTTAATGTTAGCATCCCAGTCAACGTTCGACAAGTGCAAATTTTGTAAAAATTGTTCAATCACCCCGTCCTCCAGGTATCGCGGCAATGAAAAAGGCAAGCCACTTGCCATATCCATAATGCACAAAAGTATCAGAAATGTCCACTCATTGCAATCAGTTCCTGCTTTGATACCATGTTGTTCAGTGTTCAGTTCCTAGCTTGCTTTCCTGGAGGAGGAGCAGCATGAGGGTGACTGCTACTATAAAATGATACTGTACTGTATATATAGTCTACCAACACGAACTTGGGAACTACTAGCCTTGAAGAAGTACTTGCCGCACTTCCCATGATGACTCGGCAGGGAAAAGCAATCCAGAAAGTGCTCATGAAGGAGGAAAGTGACGGAAACTTGGACTGTTTGCAGGAGGGCAAATCTTCGCAACACTATGCCAGTTCCAGTGAAGAACAACATGATCCAAAGGCATCCGCATTGTCGCCATCGATGCCAAATGCCGATTTCCCCAAAACCCAAGACCGGAAACTATATGGAAGATGCTCGAAGCAAACTGGATAGTGCTCACATCCCTTCGATCGACTGAGATGGTTGGCCAATGGAAATGGTCGTTATGCCGCCTGCAAGGTCTGTGGGTTCAAGTCCGTATTATATACTTTTCAAAAAAAACTTGGATGGTTGGAAGTGTCTCACCGGAGATTGTGGTTCACGAGGCGTTGGCAATGAACACCCCAGGCATGGCCATCACGGACAGTGGGTGCCGGACGGCAGTCGCAGGCGAAGTGTGACATCAATCCTCTCAAGAGCAGGATGACCTGGATTGAGGAGGGGTAACAAGAAGTGTTCCAGTCTGTTGGATCAGGACGAATGGAGGACAGCAACAAAGCCTTCATCTACCCAATAGAGGTACATGGAGCACACAACTCGGATGTCTTGTGTTGGTGGAGCTGCGAACTGTTGATCCATCCAAAATGGTGTGCTGGGTCGTTGTCATAGACTTTGCCTGTAAAGGGATGGATGCTGGCAAGCGACGGTTTTGACAGCAACACGGCACCCTGTGGATGTTTCCAAGATCCCCCCAACCATGGCCAGGATTTTCAGCAGAACGCGTTGATCAAAAAAAACGAAGGATTGGGGGCTGGTTCATGAAAAGCACGCGACGAAGACTTCATCACATCCTATGAATTTGGGCTGCAAGCCGAAAACAATTCGGCAGTATGAAGTCATGTGGAAAGGGGGAGAAGCAACAAGATCATACGATTTATACGCACAGGAAACAAAAATAACATGAAACAATGCAAGTTCCGTGTTCGATGTCAAGACGGTCCAAGAAAGGACCTTAAAACAAGTTGGAACTTATTACCTGGACTTGCATGACTTCATTGTGTGCAGCCCGGAGAGGCACTTCCCTGGCTGCCATAAGCCTTCCCAACTGGGACCCCTACCAGGAAAATCATCAGCAAGAAGCATTGGCATAAATGGAAAAGTTGACCCCGACCTCCTGGTGGTGGCATGGCCATGTACCATGGAGCGTCTTGCAAGGCCGTGAAAACAAAAACACCGAACAATTCAAAACTCGAGAGATTTGTGGAGGAAACTGTCAAGCAACAACGAACCGGAAGAAGATTGGGTCAAGAACCTGGGATGAACCAAGTATACAGGCTGCCTTTGAAGGATTGCCTGAACAATTCAGATCACGGATATGGCATGGTATGGCCATTCTTCACGAAAGTACAAGATTGCGGGTCTTTCACGGCCTCATCGCGAAGCATGTTCCTTTTCTTTCCTTTTCCACTTGCTGTCCGTGAAACACGCTCCCGCACGCGCTATCCACGCGACGCACACAATGCACAAAGCTGCCTCAAGCGCGCAGGGAGGCGGTTCGGGGAAGAAGGCCCTGACTCCGCGAAGGGAGGGTCCTACAACCATGTCAGCTATATTGGACTCCGTTGCCACTTGATCCGGTTAACATGGGCACAATTTTTCATGTTTAGGGACAGACATCTTGCAGCACAACCCCAACAGAAGGTAAAGTTTCCACAACTTCTTGCAACATCTGTCCGCCACGTCGGCGGAAACAACTACAAGAAGAGCCCTCTCCAAAATACATTTCTGAGCACCAACCTTCCCAAAGTTGACAGCGCAGCTCCCAAAATCAAAGCCTACTACCCAAAAACGCCAATAGTGTCGCGCACACCCACGTGGCCCCAAGCCCGGTAAATGCAATTGATCCAGAAAGAGTTCCACAACCGCACTGCATCTGTGGTTTCCGGAAAGCAGCTGGGCGCTCCAACGGCATTGGGAAACCAAGGGTCAGGTACAAAAGGGCAGCGCCAGTGCGAGCCCCGAGCGCCAAACCCACTCGAATTGCAAATCTTCGGAGTCGAACACCTCCGGTCCCGAAGCTGTTGAGAGATGTTGAAAGTGATTCGTCGTCCTCCATCAGGGTCCCAACGATATTTCCAGCGCGCCGCCGTCGAGATTGAAGAGAAAGGCTTGTTGAGCCAGGTGCTTTGCCAACGTCTGTGTTGCATGTGTGTAACAGCAATGGCGACAGAACAGTTGGATTTGCGCCCCTGGCCGTTGCGTTGATGTTTCGTGATGTCAAAAAAACATTTCATTCCATGGAAACCGAATGACGCAGTTGTCGTTGACGCCTTGCAAGTGTGTGTCCTCCGCATTTTCGCGTGCAGCCGCACAAAGTCATGAACGGGGAAACCTTCCTCAGGCACCGCTCATGCGTGCAGGTTTAGTGTCACACTCCATGCCTTGGAGGTCCGAAGTACGTCGTAGCAGCGCCAGTCCCAACCAACAGGCACAGGTTGGAACGTAACACTGCACAGTTTCACACGTGCATGCTTTCAGCTGTCGCAAAAAGTAGCTGTAGCTCAAAATGTGCTACGCTGCTGCGTTTCAAGGCCTGTGTAAGTAGAGTGAGCCCAATACGTCCGTGTTGTGTGACCCCGCACAGTGTCTTAAGTCCTGGCGGAAGTATAGGCACAATTCAGCCCAATCTTCGCGCCAGCTACCAACAGGGTGATGCAGGGAGTCTGGACTTTAGCGGCGCACTCGCAAAATTTTCGCGGAACTTCGCTGATGATTTCCCCGGGTAGGTGTGAAATTTGCAAGCACCTGCGCAGCCCGTCAGCGCACCTGCAGGTCGTTGGTGCCTACTCAGTTTGCTAGCCTCGGAGAATCTTTTACGCATTGCGAAGGCTGGGCAATGAAATGTTGAGGTTTCAGTTCGTTAGTCTGTGACAATGGGATACACTGGGTAAATGCGGGGGCACTTCCGCCCACCGGCTTTGCAGGAGGATTGCCTTGTATTTCTACCATTTGTCGGTCGGTAGACGGAAACCATATGAAAACAAAAACCTTCGATACATTTTTCGCGGAGAAAACATACATTCGCGAACCTCATCGCGAATATTCGCGAATCTTCGCGGATGGCTTTAACAACATCTGAAGGTTTATTTTATCTATATAGAACTCCTTACACCAACGAAGAGTATGAAAACGAAACGCACTACCTTCGTACAAGAACGTTGCTATGCAGCATATGCAGGTTGTGAAAGGAGCTGCAGGCTACCTCAGGACAGGCAAAAGGCATGAAAATTATGTGCAATGAGAGTTCGTCCCAGAGTGCGCACGGAGGTGCTCAGGAGAAGGGCATCTTCATGCACCAGTCACCTGTTCTCGGAGTAGTGAAAGTTGGTCATTGGAGGACTCTTTCGGACTTTGCTGGGGGTTACATGAATTGATCAAGGCTCAACAAAAGAAAATCACCGACCTCGTTCACAGAAGATTGTTCTACCCGTCCAATGAGGTGCTATGCCGGATGCTGAAGTTGGCAGGGGCTAACAAAGATCTGGCATTCTTTTTGACATTCTATCTGGCATGTTTTCTGTTATTCTATCTCGCACATTCTGGCTGGAGTTCTATCCGGCATTCTGTCTGAAATTCTGTCTGGCATTTTCATATTCTATCTGACATTCTATCCGGCACTCTTTTTGACATTTTTCGGTTGAGGTCCGGCGGTGCTCACTGCGATCTGGACGTCCGGCGGTGCTCACTGCGATCTGGACGCCGCCGGTTGAGCTCCGGCAGTGCTCACTACCCTCTTGAGCTTGTAGTTGAGGTCCGGCAGTGCCCACTGTGATCTTGACCTTGTGGTTGAAGTCCGGCGGTGCTCACTGCCCTCTTGAGCTTGTAGTTGAGGTCCGGCAGTGCTCACTGCCCTCTTGAGTTTGTAGTTCCGGCAGTAGAGGACCAGGAGGAGAAGGAGGAAGAGAACATGAGCTCACATAAAATCTAACAACCCTCACCTGGCAGGTGGGGAACAAGCGAAGACCATGAGGTGTACATTCAGAAGGTGATAGAAGGTGCGACATGTACAAGATTAAGTTGAAGAACAAACAGGAGAAAGAGATGGGTAGAGCTTGTGAGAAGGGAGAAACAGTGGCAGCAGAAGTACAAAGAAGTGCTTCTACTAAAGTTGAAGGCTTCGGGGAAAGAACTGGACCCACGTTGGTTCGAAGATGAAGCAACAGTCGAATGGAGGCGGTTCGGAATGGGATCGTGCGAAGGTTCCAAGTCATGCAGTTTTGCGCATTCCGTTGCGACCCGAAGGACGCTACGAACGGAGCAAGGACGCTACTAGGGGCTCCTGGCATCGCTACTACGAGCAAAGACGCTACTGAGGGCTCCTGGCCTTACTAGGAACAAGGTTCGCCATTAGAAACAAGAAGAACAGGAATTCAAATTAGAATTGTTCGGGTCAACAAGTCCAAAGACCCGAAGGTGGCGAAGAGTAGGACGGTCCCGGGACACATGGAACCAGGATTAGGCCAATATAGAAGCGATAGTCCGTCGGATGAAATCCTTGTGTCACACTTTGTTGGAATGATGCCGACTATGATGGTTGGACAGTTGAAGTTGGCAGCCATCGTTCTTTGAGAAAAAAAATTAGCAGTTGCTTTCGGGGAAACATGTCAATCGCACGGCCATTTGTGGGCGACGATGCCAAACACGTGTCCAAGCCACTTTTCTAGCACCTACATCTGGCTGTTGACTTCTCCACGTGTCCAACGTACTTCAGGCCCTCGCGCCTGTGGAAGTTTTTTGTTCTTCCTGCAATGTTTTATCATTGGTCAACGTGGTATTACATTTACTGCGTATGTTCATGTACTTTCAATCATCCATTCATTTCATTGTTTCTCGCCCAAGTTCGTCCTAATTTGTCTGTCTAGAGTCTAGAGTATCGCCCTTTTTGGATCACATAGTGGGGTGTCGGCTCTTGACTTTCTAGAGTACTTTCTAGTTGGATCTTGTCCATGGGGTTTCTTTAAACATCTTTCGACAATTATATACAGAAAAACAATTGAAGCTAGCGTGCAAAACCAATCGCGCTTGTGATTTGGAGCCCGTGATAGGTTTTTTGTTCTCACAGCGCCCTTTTTGCATGGTAGGGGCAAGGGGTACGTTGCGTTTGCACGAGGGATGGCTACCAACCCATCCCTTGAATCCCCTTGAGAGGTACTGAGGAGCCAAAGCTATATGGCGGCCTCAAATGGTCAAGTCAAGTTAAGCTTCCCAAAAAACCTATAGGACAAGTGCTTCGCGGGGGGAGCTTATTGAAGAAGCGTGAGCTATCCTGCACCCTAGCTCGGAGCGAACCTTCTGAACTATATAAAGCAGGGAGGGAGGCGGGGCGTCAGGCTTTAAAAATAACACAACCCCAAGTCAAACCACGCGAGATCCCTACAGCGTCTCTGCGCATTGGTGGTCGACTGATCGGACCGTTGTCTGATCGGTTTGGATCGGTTTGGTGGTCGACGGAACGCACATGGGACACGAGTCGAAGGGATCCAATGAGTGGCCTGAAAATGGCCGCAGGAGAGTCCCACGCTCGCCCTCTTAGGTCTATCCATGTCCGCACGTCCCAAAACTTGCGGCCGCAAAAGGACTATATAAGGGGGTTTTGTGGTTAGCTGAGCACAGCGAAACGACACAAGGCAAAATCAACGCAACATGGCACCACCACGTTGGGTCGCCAAGGGGAGAGAACGGTGGATGGGTCGGTTCACGCGGCTTGGTCAGCACCTAATGGTTCTCCTCTTCTGGGTCACTAAACTTGAACGCATGCGACGCATGGGCGCAGTCCGGGTGGAGTTGGGCAGTCGGCGACGATCTGGGCCTTGGGCCGAACACCGGGCCTTGCAGAACGCCCTCCGGTGCTCAGCCTGAGGCCTTCAACGCATCGTTGCGAGTTTGTGACACGATGCAAAGGTGAGCCGTTGGAGTTTGCGAGGATGTGGGTCTACGATGGTCTTTGCACATGTCTTGCGTGACATGTTTTTGCAGGGCAAAAGCTCGTGTGTGATGTTGTGCAGCGTCGGCCTGATTCGAGAACAGTGTAAACGCTGCTCGTCGCATGAGTTGGCATCGTCTCAGCTTGCTTGCAATTTGGCAGTCAAGGCAAATAGTAAATCACACCCAACAAAATGGAGGTTGCTCTACATTGTCACTGGCTCTACATGTCTCAACAAAGCCAGGTCAAACGATTGCGCTTCATTTATGTAGCATGAAGCGCCAAGTAACTGAGAATCAGCCAAGCCATGCCAAGACAAAGTACTGGAGGATTCGGGCGGTCAGAGATGACTAGGACCACGCACGCAAAGTCGCAAGACACAAAACATTCCAAACACATCATCGCTCATGAAGGTTCGACGTGAGACCATGAGAGACCACAACACTCAGCGATATTCGTACCCTGCTGCGAAATTGGGTTTTATATAGCTCCTAAAATGTCCGAGCTTTGAAACGGTCCACTGCTCGTCCGATGAGAACTTTAGACAGCAAACACATATTCAATGCGGTTGGAGTCAAGAAACAAAACGCGCTCCGCTAGCATCGCTTTTTTGCCGAAACCACTGGTCATTTATGGTCTTTTGCCACTTGGCAGCGCTCGTTCAGTGAATCTCCATGTATCCGTCCCAAGTCTTAAGGACTTCTGCGACATCCCTACTAGCGATGGCCTCCAAACTCATTAATGAAAAAAGGAAAACACAATATTAGTAACTTACTAATAGCGATGGCCTCCACCCTAGGTCTTGTTGTTAAGGACTTCTGTGAGGTGTCTTCAGGAATCTGCTTAATTAGATAATTTCTACAAGTGCGGCAGTGAAGTCCATGGAGATTCATGCTGAACAAAAGCTGTCTTTCAGATAGTCAAAGAGTGCCAAGTAGACCTGAGAGCAGTTTAGTTCGGTTAACTGGATGGTCCTGTTTGGGGTGGGCGACATTGTTGCCGCTTTGCCCCAGGTCGTGCCGCTTATTCCAACCCAACTATATCTTGTAAATCTTACATATACGTTTAGGTAGTAACGGCACTGCCTCCATCTACCAGTGACGCTTATCGAAGTCAAGTTTCCCTAAATCTAGGAACCAAATCATTAGTGCAAGTGCTTCTTCAAGGAAGCTCCAGGCGGTGGGGGAGCTTCCTTGAAGAAGCGTGAGCTATCCTGCGTCCTACGACCTAGAAGCTAACTTAGCCTAGTAGCTTACTCCCTTACTTGATCAAGTAGGGAGGCGGGCCTCGGGCTTTAAAACAACATGTTATATCAATTAAATTTCCCCAGAATAGTCCTTTTATTTATGGTGAACCAAAAAAATAGATCAAAATAGATCAAAATAGCATGTCGCATGCCCTTGCACCCTAGAGGCCCTAGAAGCCAATGCAGTCCAAAGTGCTGTGGTGTTCGGCACTGTCTTAACCTGAAACCAAATGCATCAATTCCAGCAGGTCCTCACATACATACTCTATTTACATACTGCCTGGCATTGCCACTTCGAGAGGATTCTACGGGCTGGACACAATCTTCAACGTGCTCAGCTTTTATTGTAGGTCAAACATTGTGAAACCATGAAAATGCAGCAAGTGCAAATGAGCGTCGTAGTTCAATGCGCAGCCCCTGTAGAGGCCACGAACAACGCCTTCCTCTGGCACGGCAGGAATGTATCCAACATCGACTCTGCAAAGCGACTCTGCAAAGACCATTGTTACTACTAGTAAGGCACTTGTTACTAGTAGCGTGGCACTTGTTACTAGTAGTAACTCTGCAAAGACTCTGCGAATCTGGAAGAGGCTTTTTGGAGTTTCCCAGGAGACCACTGGACACCATCATCAATCAGGCTACGAAGCGGCTACTAAGCTGCTATCAAACTCAGAATCACGGTGAACCACCCAAAAATGCTTTCATGATCCGATTGCAGTTAGACTGTTAAACCATGCTGTCATGCCTCTTGGTAAAGCCGCCAAAGGCCTCTTATGCTGCCGGGATATTTCTCCTTGACACGAGCTTGAAAAAGAGCTTTAAGGCAATTTCAATCCACGAAAGGTGACGATAGCTCACTCCGAGACTCACTCCTCTTCTGAAATACAAACGATCCAACGCAAAGCAGCAAAGCACCTAATCGACAACGACGCGCGCAGCGTCGCGGCGTCTGTCCAGCATCGCAGGGCCACCGGTCTGAAGCCGCCTTCGCCTCATGAGGGTAGAGCAAACTATGACCATATTAGACCTTTCTTCCATTGCGTCCTTGCTCCTAGTAGCGATGCCAGGAACCCCTAATAGCGTCCTGTTCCTAGCAGTAAGGCCAGGAGCCTGTAGTAGCTTCTTGCTCCTAGCATCTCCTAACTATTAGATTAGACCTTTCTCCCTTTTCTTCTTTCTTTGTTTCCAACAACGATGGCCTCCATCCTAATAGCGGCTCATGAAAAAGGTGAGATGGACATGTCATGCCTGCATATACCTGCCCCATAGTCCCTACAATGTTCCACCATGTTTATAGCTCCACGGCATCGAGCTCTGGTGGGGGTAGGCAGTCAGCTCCAGGCCTCCATTTGTGTTACACCATCTCATACGTACCATCTATATATCTCCTTAGAAAAGGCCTACAACACCCACATCATCCTACATCCACCTAAGTACCGAGATTGAGAGATCCCACCCACATGGAATCTTGCATTCTGACTGGCACTTGCTGCCAATATTTGGCTGGGCATCCCTAACAGCACGTCAAACGGATACACAAAGGTCTGCGCCTGGGCCCGTCTCACACGCGTACAATGTTCCCCAGTCACACGACCATGTGAGCGCATGGGCTTTCAAGGTCCTTCCGAAGAAGGCAAAGCAAAAAAGGCGAGAGCATAGGATGCTGTGGTAACAGTGTGTCTAGCCGAATCGCGATCCGCATGGAATGCACAAAGACTGGATGGCAGAGCGCACGGGACGGCCGTCAGGAGGACTGTGGTTTCTCACCTTCCTAGCCCGAATTCGTGAGCTCCGCCACTCTTCAATGCTGAGCCCTACACTTACACCCTACCTAAGACAATGCCTGTGACAAAACCATCTAGGACTTCTCAGTAGTGTGAGAGTGCATGATCGATGACATTCTCTTCACTTCGGTCGCTCCGAAAATGAGAAAACCAAAGTGCCCGGCCAGGACGCCAGCAAGGCCACCGCTCATGGCGCGATGGAAAGGGCTTGGAGGTCCTTCCTCATATGGTGCCGAACCCGAACAAACTTTCTGTGTTTCGTCGTATTTCCAGGTTACACGGTTACACATGCTTACACGACCTTACACAGCTCGTGTTGGCAATACCACGTCGAAGGATGTCGAAGAGGTGTGGGTTTCGGACCAATGTACAAGGCATCCTTGCAGGTCTGTCTGACTCCGTCCCTACCTTCCCTTGATACGGAATCATATCAATTGAGGGGAACCCTCCTTGGCCTGAAACTGAGCTTGCGACAGGATCTGGCAGCAAATATTTCTGGCACAACTCCTTCACTGTAATGTCATGTGAAACACATGATCTGCAAAGAGAAGCTCTTGGATCTGTCTCTCCTTCGAAGCATCGTAGCTTGCAAATTTCAAGCCACAATAGATGGCTGCACCCGTCATCGAGACCTGAATCTGGGATGAGAGGATGCCCAACCACATGTCACATCAAGCCGGCAACCAAACAACAAATGGCATGGACAAATGGACAGGTTGCAATGGGTAGGATGCGCTCGCTCTCTTAATTTTTCTGTTCTCTTCTTGACACTTCTCAACCATCAAATGCACACGATCAACTATCTACTCTGATGCTTCTGCAAGGAGGCAACCTGCCGGTTCAAGAAGCTGCCTTGCATTGCTGGGATCCGAACACCAGCACCAGAGTAGAGAGCCCGAACCCCTCCCTGCAAGCTCAAAAAGGACTGAAAGCCATGTTTGTTCTATAGGGCACCAAAGATGCGTCTGGACATCTAGCGGTTGAATCAGATTGCAGGATTTGGTCTGTGTTTGGCAGCTTCTTGATCTGTGTTTCAAAACGCAGTAAAATGCAAGTTGAGCCATTTGTCACTGTCGTTGTGTTTCACTTGAGCCTTTGCAGCTCCGCTTTGACCATGCCTGGCGCCAGACCTCCCGGACAGTGCCAGCCATGGACCTTGCTAGGTGCAAGACCGAACATGGTGAAGGTGTTTCTTTAAACATCGCTAATTAGTAGGTTCGAGGCCATCGCTACTAGGGTGGAGGCCGCCGCTTCTAGGGCGGAGGCCATCGCTAGTAGGTTGGAGGCCATCGCTACTAGAGGCCATCGCTAGTAGGTTGGAGGCCATCGCTATAGTAGGTTGGAGGCCATCGTTATTAGGGTGGAGGCCGTCGCTACTATGGCGGAGGCCATCGCTAGTAGGTTGGAGGCCAATTAGGTTGGACCTCCATCGCTACTAGGGTGGAGGCCATCGCTACTAGGGTGGAGACCATCGCTACGTTGGAGGCCATCGCTATTCGGTTCGAGGCCATCGCTATTCGGTTCGAGGCCATCGCTACTATAGGCCATTGCTAGTAGGGTGGAGGCCATCGCTACTAGGGTGAAGGTCATCGTTATTAGGTAGGAGGCCATCGCTACTAGGGTGGAGCCCATCGCTACTGGGGTGGAGGCCGTCGCTACTAGGGTGGAGGTCATCGCTACTAGGGTGGAGGCCATCGCTAGTAGGTTGGAGGCCATCACAATTATATAAGTTCCCATTGCTATTAGGTGTTGTTTTAAGATCCTCAGAAAGTTGCCTTCGCAGAATCTGTTCATTTTCAGTCTTCTACTTTCGTCCTGCGCTGTTCCTTTCTATGTGGTTCTGTCTTTAGACGTTAACTGTTTCTTTTTTGTTAATCATTGTGTTATTTGTTTTTCTCTATTTTTGTTCTTGCTTTCATGATTTCCATGAGAAAGTGGCCTTGTAGGAATACTTTGTTGTCACTATGTATCTATGTATCTATGTATGTATGTATGTATGTATGTATGTATGGTACTGTACTGTACTGTCATTTATGTAATGTAATGTATGCATGCCTGCATGTCCGCGTGCACGCATGTATGCATGTACACATGTATGTGTGTATGCATATATATATATATATGCTATATAGTGTGTGTTGTGTTTTATTGTAATGTAGTGTACGGACCGCATCACGGACCGAAGGTCTGCCATGATCCCCCATCTCGAAAGCATGATTCGCAAGCTGACCATGAAGTGCGACATGGCCCTTGAGTCAATCGAGAAGACATGGACGTTTTGTCTAGTTCTGATCTTTTCATCCCTGCTTGGGCGAACACGGCATCTCTTGGGCACCTTGTTCCATAAGCAGTGCCTCATGCACAGGTGGGCGGCACTCTGAAAAGTAAGTAGCCGTACCCAAGCCTAAGACATCCTTTGTCAATGGTCCCCCAAACCTGTGCTTAATGTTCAAGGTCACAAACGTTGCCGACATTTGTCCATCTGCGCGCCCCAGCCATGCGCGCACGGGCCAAATCCAAGGGATATGTGCAAAGCACAGCCGTCAAACCGGCTCCTCCTGAGTCGTCACAATTTGACAGCTTTTGTTCCTAGTAGGAAGGCCAGGAGCTACTAGTAGTGAAGGAAAACACAGTGACCATGCTTGCCATCCTAAAAGTCCCTCACAATCGGCTCCTCCAGCGAAAAACTTTTGCACCTCGACAAAGGAACAGCACTTCAAATGCAGAGCACCCCCAAGGTTCAGTGTCTTCAAATTGTTCATACCTGAATTACATTGAACTACTAATATACACAATATTCACTAGCATAGACCCCAAACAGTCTCATTAGCAAGCATCGCGGTGGTGGATGCCAAATACGTTCATATCAATGAAACGGTTGGAACGACAGCCAGAACCTTAAGGGCAAAGCATGGACAACTGGAAAAAAAAACGAAGCATGAACATGTGCGAACATAGAAGGACACTCTCCGGCTACAGACTGTCATGAGACTATTTTCTGAAGATAGAACCCCACAGTCGACTGCGTGGAAGGAAACACAACGTGCAGCTGTGAGGCTGAAACGATCAGAACGGCATTTTCGATCAAACAGCAAATTCCAAACTCGTTTGAAGAAACTCGACAAACGCACGACCTGGCCTCTGGGGTGACAGCAACTGGACCTTCCACAGGGAAAATGAATGCAATGTCAGAGCATTGACGGGTTACGACTGTGGCACCTAATAGCTGGAAACAATTGCACTCAGAAAGTAAACCTGCCTTTGGCCAGTGTTTTTAATTGTCGACGGAAAAACCTGGCGTAAATCAGAATCAACAAAAATGTACAAAAACAACTGCTCTGATCAAAGCTTGCAGAGCTTTTTCACAAAACCTGCCAGGAGGTCTCGTTCGAGGCCAGTTGAACTCCAAGATAAGGAAAAACCTCAGCTGAACTCACGCGACAACAATAATTTTTAGACTTTAGATCTTTCTTCTTCCCGTCCTTCCTTTATTCCTTCTTTTCATTGTATGATTTATATGCTGTGTAATACAAGATAGTATAAGGATGTGTTGTCTCTCTCCGGTGTGTGCGCATATACTATATGTATATATATCGTCATATATTATACGCTACAATGTACCATGTGATTCAACGACTGGCATGATCCTGGACCCTCACAGCAGCGTGTTGTCTTTATTGCTCAGTTTCGGCGTCTAGGCTCCTAGTAGCGTCCTTGCTCCCAGTAGTAAGGCCAGGAGTTAGTACTGCCGTTCTTTGTTCTTAGTAGCGATGCCCTTTGCTCCTAGTAGCGTCCTTTGTTCCTACCTAAAGAATTAAAGAGGCTTTATCCTTTAACATCCTTTAACTGCGAAACGACAACCGCTGTCTCTCTCGGAACTCCCGCACGGAGCACCGCCACCGAATTGCCTTTCCAAAAGGCTGTGACCTTTTGAAGGCCTCGTCTTCGCCAGTTGTTGTCACTCTGGTCAGTGAACATGCCACGTACTGTATACATCATACTTGTAATTATTTGCATGACAAGTCAAGCTGCTTCTCTCTGCAAGAGACAACAAGAATTCAAATCCAGAGCACTCATGGACCGGATGAGAATCGAGTAATGATGCCAAACGCTGCAATCTGTTTTGCAAAAACTTACAAATCACACAAGAAGCAGCATCTTCCCTACTGTTCATTGAATGCGAACAATCCAAGTGCGCTCCAAGGAATAAGGAGCAACATAAGTAGCCAAAGCAGAATTGAGGTTTCTTAGCCATTCAGCAGCTATGTATTGCAAAGCTTTACTACCCGATTTGAAGGTATCTGTCAAACGACGACAGCGCCTCCACCACTCTCGTCCATCACTTTGGTGATGATCCGCAGCCAGCCGTGATCACGGCCCTGACAAGAACACGGCGACGGTGCAGTTTTGACAACGACCACACAAACTGCTAGCATCCTTGCTCCTAGTAGCGATGCACTTGTTTCTACTAGCTTCTTGTTACTACTAGTAAGGCACTTGTTACTAGTAGCGATGCACTTGTTCCTAGTAGCATCCTTGCTCCTAGTAGCGATGCCAGGAGCCCCTAGTAGCTTCTTGTTCCTAGTAGTAAGGCCAGGAGCCCCTAGTAGCATCCTTGCTCCTAGTTGCAAAAACAAGCCAGGCAAACGCTGTTTTTGGAATTGATCTGGTAAATGATTTTGATCTTGGTCGCCCAGGAGATGTTAAGATCGGTTCGAAGGCAAATCTAAGGCATGTCTTCTACAAACATCACTTACCATTAATGCTTGCTCTGTTGATCAGCGTTGAACTCTCTGCCCCAAACTCTCTCCACTGGCGCAATCACCGTCCTTGCAACCTGTGCGGTGCATTGCGGTGCAAACTTTCTTTGTCCGTTTAGATCCCACGAGACGAAAAAGTTGTGCCTCTGAAATTCAATAGACACTTCACAGGAACACAAAAGAAACATATTTGGGGACAAAAGAGAATATACATTGATAGAATCGTTTGTAATTAGGCAGTTCTTCGGACGAATCAACTTCAAGTTTGCAGACACGTCTTGTGGAGTCTAAGCGGACTTGTTTGGAGTCGGACTTGTTCAGTTCATTCTGCCAAGTGACGTGGAGATGTCAGATGTGAAGATAGGCTTCAAATAAAGTTCACACTATGGCTTCGACCAACCCTCCCCCATGCTCTTCCAGACATTTCCCGATTCCTCCTGCCCCGCTTCGCTGGGCGCCGGGGCCATCCCAGCGATCCCACCGCAAACGAAGTGCTCCGAGGCTTTCCGCCACTCGGATGACATGGTGTGAACTCCGTGGCGCAAATGGCCCAACTTTGGCACCAAGTCGAGAGAACAGCGAAGCAACTTGGAAACCACTGCATGTTCTTTCGAGGCGCAAGTTTTGGGCAATTGTATGTAGTTTGTTTTTGAAGTCCTTTCAATGTTCCCTTTCTCCTGAGAGTTTTGATGAAGTGCATGCCACAATCTACTGGTAGGTTGCGCATGGTTGCACAGGACCTGCACATCGCAAAACCAGCATACACATATCGTGTAACCCCCTTATGAATTTCATGCCACAGAACTACTTGGTGAATTAAAAAATGTGTCACTATGCATTGTGACTTCTGCCTCTTGCCATTATCACCTTGAAGCGACTCACAGCTGTTTCACGCACAAAGAGGCCCACCACCAACCCTTCAGCTTTCCACTATGCACATGTCCGGTAGTCCATTGCAAGCCAAACTGATTATAGTTCAGAAATGACTATACACCTAGTCGCGCCCAAGTGAAGCCTGTCAGTACTTGTTGTCATTAACAGTGTCCTGCTTTGCGAATTCTAAGAGCATCCGTCCAAGCTGACACTGCAACTTTTTCGGCCAGCAAAGGTGCAGCTACAATCCTGGGACACTCACGGCAAGGCCCTTGTGCCCGACTGTCAAACAACAAAAGACCGAAAAAAAGGGACCCAACTCAAGGCATCTCAACTTGAGACATTGAACAAATTCAAACTATTCTGAAACAAAATGACCGAGAGTCCTTCTTCTGCAGACCGATGCCTTCGCTGAAACGATCGTCCTCCACGGCCTTCGCCGAAGTACCGGCTAGAGTGGGAATAATACTGTCCCAGTGGTCTCAAACGAAACCGTAGGGGGAAGCCAATGCAGGGTCTCTTGATCACCAAGACAATTATTTGGATACAGTAATTGAACATCAATGAATATCATAATATTGTTGACATCTAAGTCAATCTACCTCTTTTGCATCCTTTACTCTTTACATCTCTTTACAATTCTTTACATATCTTTGCATCCGTTTGTGTGCCTTCTGTCTTGAAGTCGTAGCCCAAGACCTGAAGGCGCCACAAACGACAAGCTACGTTGTGCACCAGTGACCACTCCCCCTTAGTCTGGCGACCAACAGATGTCAATGGCCAGAAGTGCTACTAGCTCATCTCGAGTAACTACCTTTTAAGGGTCTATTCATTCAAACTTTGGACGTCCCGTATCGATTTACAGTTCGCCAGAACACCGTGGGTGTCGTTTTGCGATCGCGCATCCAAGGACACAATTGCATGCAACACGCGGAGTACTGTCACAAAAGTCCGGACTACTCAGAATCAGAGTCTTGGAACCAAATGAAACACCCGTCTCTAATAGAGTGAAGTAGTAAAGGACGATACTTTTCAAAACGACTCACATGCTGTACACCTCCATCCACATCTGCCGGGAGGCTGGCGGCACCCGCGGAAGAAAGCTGAAAACCAAGCGAACCACTGGGTGACCAACCTGTCGTGCAACAGTTGCTGATATTATTCCAAGTGCTTCAATTCTTTATTCCATATTGTCTTGTCTTTATGCTTCTTTTTCAGACGTTCTTAGGATGGAGGCCATCGCTCTTAGAATGGAGGCCATTGCTTTTAGGTTGGAAGCGATTGCTATTAGGTTTCTTAACATGGTCAATCTTCTTTAGACATTTAGACCGCTCTTTCTTCCAGACTTTGAGTGCGTCTTTGTCACTGGCATTCATCATCCACTCCAAAATGCACTTTGCATTGAAATTGAAGCTCACAAATCTTCGGCACAGCCATTCACAAAGAACATTTATCAATACATTGTTAGGAACTGTTAGGCTAGTTGAACCACAAATGGCTAGTCGCTCCAATTCACAACTCATTGCGGATTCCAACGCCTTCAAAGAGATCGCTGGCCCATGTTGACGTTTGACCAAAAGGGCCAGCCAGTTGAGAGCAGCACCAACGTCGTCTGGCCCAGTGATTGCTCGATCGTGAGACAGCAAAGCGATCAGGACCAGCATTTGGCGGCGACATGTCCAAAGCAAATTTGGAATATGTGCAACGATTCGCCTCCTGCGTCACATGGTCACACAAAACCGCATGCAGTCAACTTCCAAAATGACTCTCGATAGAACATTCAAACGGACACAAAGAAGCATTCGCACTGCTGCTAGTTCTCCATGCAAGCAACCTTCCAGGAGGTCGGTGATCGTCAACGGCGAAGTCTGCCCCAAATTCCAGGGCTCGAGACAGAATCGTCACAGTATCTGGATGTTCCAGGCAACCAGCATGGCCAAGCAAATCCACCAGAGAGTGAAAGTTTGTTAATTTTCCCTTCCTCGGATCACGCGAGCATGTCATTGAACTCGACTCCCAACAGGAGTCCTTGCCTTCCACCGTTCACATTGAATGAACAAGTATGAACACTGGCCACTCGGCAGAAGTGGTGCTCAATACTGCCGAGCTTCTCGTAGATTCCCCACGGTGGTGAGTAGTTCCAGGCAATAGCATCCCACTTAGCACCAAATTCTTCCGCAGTGGAAATATACTGACGTGCGATTGAAAGCCCCACCTCGATATCGGACCAACCATAATTTTCTTGGCATTCTTCTTTTATGTAAGGATATGGATATGTTTGGAACACGAAGGAATCAACCAAGAGGATTTGTAAACAACGGCAAAGCCGGACATAACAACGGCAAAGCCGGACATCGTCTGTCCACACCATCTTGTGCCAAAGCTGAGTCTGCCAGTGTTGCTGAGCTGCCAAACCTGCTTCTGCCAATGCTCTCAGCATATAGTAGAACGTGGTTTCCTGAATCTCACAAAGCTCTTCCGCAAAGTGCAAGGAGCTCTCTGTTTCTCCCTCTATGGGAAAACACAAAAAGTTACCAAAGGAACTATAACGAGCTTCACAGGCGTCACCTTTCTCTCGCACTTCCGACCCGTTCCAAAGATTGTGAGAATCCTCTCATCGAACATGCCGTGAAACATGACACCAAGGAATATCTTGAAGTGCACAAATGTGCGCAGTGAGAGTGCTAGCTCCTGTTGACACTCCAGGATGCCTCGAACTACTTTCCTTGGTTCTGTCCGCTTCGAAAACACGGAAGCATTTGCTGAGTGGCTGGTCGACTAGTTCGCACAGTCTTGCCATAGCTATGAGGTTGTTTACAACATTGGACACATCTTCACAGGTTATTGCTGAGCTTCAAATTGTCTTCAATGGAGCGTTTCCCGCAAAGTTCCCGTCGCCTTCGCAAAAGCAGCCAGATTGGCTGAAGCTTAAAGCACAGAGTGGGCAGGGTCCCAAAACCGACTTGTCCAAGTGTCAACAAAGGTGTGGTCACAGGTCCTGGGGTGGGGTGTGGACAAAGTCTTTGGTGTAGTAGGCGTGAGGCGTGCTGGAAACAAAGGAGCTTGGAACAATTGGAAAAAAACAGCCTTGAAGTTCAAGCTGTAAGACCAAAGGATAAATATGATAAATGAACTATTGATTCGTATGTATATATTGTCATTGAGTGTGGCTTCCATAAAGACAAGCGAGTGACCAGTGACGCACTGGGAGGAGCCAATACTTGGCATTGGTGGACTACTTCGCTGGCTGAAGAGTGCCTGTGCTGTAAAGCGCACTCCAAGAGCTCCAGGAATGATGTTTGATTCCATCCATCTCCTCGACAAGGTAAGCCGATGTTCACCCTATGGAGAAACAAAACAAAATCATACAAAATCAAACATGCACCAAAAAGAATCCGTTGGGATCCTGCGCTCTCAGGGGTGTTTGTTCCACAAGACTTGCTCATCATAAGAGTGCTCAACATGTTTGATTTCAACACGGCCGACAGCGAGGGATGGGATGTCTGACCACATGGCTGACAGGTATCGAATATCCCAACGCGCCCCTCTGGCATAGCAAAACTCAAGGAGGGCCTGCCCATCAGGTGTACCAAGAAGATCCTCGGCCGAACGGTCCTCTTCAAGGTGAACCACAAATTATCTTTGAAAACATCTACTGTACTGTGAGAAACAGGTCTTCATGTCACCCGAGATAGACTGACCAACCAACCGGGCGGCCCTGGTCAAACATTGGCCATTGGATCAAGACCCGAAACTTTGACACACACATTTCGGTTGAGGTGAGCGTCATGACGCATCGCAATTTGGACCACATTGGAGAACATGGTGCCACCGCCTTCAAATAACAGAGTCATGACCTGCAGGTTCGGGACTGCAGTTTTCAGCAGTATCAGAATCCCCTCGATGCCATGCACTGCGTGACATCAGGTTCGCCAAAAGGTGAACTCTCGTCTCTGGCTGTGCGACTAAAACGCCGCTGTGCGACGGCAAGATTTTCTCTCAATTGAAGTTTCCATGTTTGGAATTCTCCATTGGTTCAACAGGCTTTTGATGTGACTGTCGGCCTCTAGTTGCGTCTTTGGGCATCGGCTGTGGCCAACAAGCTTTCTCTTGAACATGTCCGAGTTTCCTGCTGTTCGCTGTTGACTTTGTTTGAACTTCGTTGAAGGACATCTCTCGGTGACGAACCCTGGGTAAGTGCAGAAACAACAAGAACCACAACAAAACTCGATGATCAGTTTGGGTAGCTTAGGTTGGGTCGACCATGGTCGTCAACCCTTCATGACCTCATTTTGATGCCAGGATACCGGTTGGTGAATGCCCCAATTGTTCAATGACCTTAGTAAAACACATCACAAAATCGTGACACTTCCCGGTTCTTACAACCTTGATCAATGCTTGTAAAACACATAATATGGTTGAATCAGGGCTGCCCTTAAACATCTCATACAAATTCATTCTTTGTCAACATTTTTGGTTGAGCCGCTTGCGAAAACCAGCTCCTGTGCACCGAACATCTCCTGATTCAAAAACTGTTCAATAAAGGCTCACTTCCCTCACCACTGAAACCCTCACCGCTCAAAAAACGGTTTCGCACAACGATGATAGAGCGGGTGAGGGATCAAACATTAAGAAATGCATCAAACACCTACATATACCCAGTGAGCAACGACAATAACAACTGGGGGGAAAGGACAGCAGCAGGGTGACAAAAGGACAAGGCAGCCCCCCCGCACAGCAAACCAAAACACAAGCTCCAATCACAAAGAAAACAAAACAGAACGAATAAATAAACACCTAAGAAATATGGGTACAAAAAGGAAGCTCCAACAAGCGATGTGAGAGTCTCCAGCACTCCGCACAGACGCCCTGATAAGACCCACTTCATGCGAACGATTCCTTTCAAATGCTCGAAGATGCATCTGCGGTGCTTTGCTCTGTCAAGGGTCTTATCGCCAGAGCCCGCTTTTGGGAGGCTTCCATTTTTGTCTGAGATGACCATCAACCAAAGCGCGAAAGGGTTTCTTTCTATCTATCCATCCATCCATCCTGTCTGTCTCTGTCTCTGTCTCTGTCTCTGTCCCTGTCTCTGTCTCTGTCTGTCTGTGTCTGTCTGAGTCTGTATCTGTCTACCTATCCGTCTATCTACCTATCATCTGTCTATCTATCCATCTATCTACCTACCTACCTACTTACCTACCTACCTATCCACTACTCCTCTCTCTCTCTCTATCCCCCTATCTCTCCAAATCTCGATCTCGTTATCTCTTTAACCCACATCTACTCATATAACAATCTCTCTGTGTCTCTATCTCTCTTGTCTCTCAAGCTCTCTATCTCTCTGCCTCGCTATCTCTCTGACTCTCTCTCTCTCTCTCTCTCCTTTCTTCCATCCATCCACCCATCCATGCAGCTAGCCATGTTGATCAACTGTTTGATGGCTTGCATATTCGCACTTTGAGAACACTTGTAGTTCGGTGGATCACGAAGGCAGCAGAATCGAAACATATTGACACTTTCTGCATTTTTTCCCGTGCACGATATGGCCTCCACCCCCCCTACCCGCTTACTCCTCACTTCGTGTGCCAAATTCGCAAATATATTATGATTTTCGCATGTCTCGTTTTTTGACCAGGAAAAGGACCAGGAGACCAAAGGACCAGGGACCAATGGACTATAGGGCGTAGGGGTCCTACTCCGGATTGTTATTGTTGATCCGGTATATTTTTTGGGTTGATCCAGTTCTTGTTTTGTTCGATCCTGTTCCTTTTGATCTACATGCCCAGGAGGGCGGGCTTATTGTGAATAAACCCAATGGTATATTAATCTTGGACAACTTCACTCCTTCAACAGCTGGGAGCAAAGTTCGGGCATGTTCAGGCAACTCCCTGGCAGGTTCGGGCAACGTTGCTTGCTAAAGGAAAACACAATGCTTCAACGTGTGACCAAGGACCGCTCCAAGAGCTGCATCGATGCGGGCTGGACCAGAATACCAGCTCCACACAGCAAATCTAGCAAGAACAAAAACCTTGGAAGGATACATTTCGTGAAACAATGTGACTTGGAAGCTTTTGAAAACCGTTGAACATGAAGCAACACGAATGAGCTTTCAATATTGGTTCGTCGTTTGTTGCTAGTCTGCTGCGGCCCATAAGCAGTGCAAGCAGGTTTTGAAAAATTGGTTTCGACAAATCCACCGTCCCTGATTGATCTTAGGCGCACCCATTCATCTGAAAAGGATATTTGTGAGCCATGAGGGCATCGACGCCATCGAGCTCCAGTGGAAATTGCCAAGTCAATGAGTTCGTCAGCAGAATTAGTTCCAAGAATCTTCAGCTCGATCAGCAATTGCCTTGGTATCCGTGTCGAGTCAACTTTCTGGCAATCATGAACACATCATCTTGCAAACTCCGGGAGGAGCGAATTGTTTCGGGGCGAAGCGTGGCAAATAAAGGTCTTCCCGACGAAAACAAAGGAAACACGTCTGAAAAGACAGGCTGCAGCAGAAGCCGAAACGGATCCATCGATCCGTTGATGCCCGTCCTTGTAAACAGCAGGGTTTGCCTAAAAATCAATTCAAAGCACATGATATGCAGCCATGTCTCGTGCGTGAACAGCTTGACCAATCAGCTCCAGCTTCCTTTGGCGAACACTTTTAACAAGTTGAAGGTAACAAAACCATCGCTACTAGGAACAAGAAGCTACTAGGGGCTCCTGGCCTTATATACTAGGAACAAGGACGCTACTAGTAGCTCCTATGTCACGAGGAACGAAACCCGGAACACTTCGTCTCATTGCACGGCAATCACTCTGTTGTGTCAAGCATTGCACGCCAATCACTCCCACAAACAAATAGAAGACTCTTGTGGGCCTTTAGGAATGCTGAGCTTCAGCAGCTTTGTAGATGGCATGTTTCTCATCTTGTCCCAAAACGCCATTGTTGCGCAAGCTTTGCAGCAACAAACTGAACGGAGTCTCGGTTTCTCCTCAGCGGCGATGAGAGCGGCAAGGCTCGAGCGTTGGGTGTTCAGCGAAAAATGCTATCAATGGAAGACCCGCTTCGAGCAAGGAAACCAAGTGGGACTGTGGACGTTGATCGACTATATATTCAATACACAATTGCAAACGTTAATATATATTATTATGTTTTTCAATGCAAATTAAGGTTCCCCCCCCTAAGGATGCTATTGTGGATGTGGGTCTTGCACGCATTTCTTGTGCGAGGGATATAGCTAGGTTGACCCCCTACTATCAGGAATGCAGAACAAGCTGGCCAAATCCCGGCTCAGTCTTATAACGACTTTGTGGGGACTTGACACACTCACAATGAAATTTAACGAGAATGGAATGGTGAAGTGCCATCTGTGACGAGGAGACGTGCTACATGCACATCTATGAATCTATGCGGCCATCGCTAGTAGGTTGCAGGCCTACACGGCTGGACGTCCAGCCTTGGGAGTTTTAGGAGCTGTGGACTCTCCCCACCTCGTCGATCTTGGGCTTGAGGGGCGTTGAGATCCTGCCGGATGGCATTTCAGGAAGTATTTGAAAGAATTATCCAATCATCTGTTGTTTCTTTTGTCTTTTGTAGACATGTTTTTCCTTTCCCTCCTTTCTGTCATTTTATTTAGTCTATATATCATATATCTTGTTTCCTTTTCTTTCCTTTTCACTCTTGCTCACTTTACAACTTTTAACATGCAACCAGTTATTTCATTCTGCATACAGCTGGATACAATGTGGTCCTTCACTGCCGCTGTCTCTAACAGCTCAGTGAACCTTTTGATGTCTCCTCAAACGGATGGATTCGCATGAACAAAGGATTGAATCGGAAAAAACACACGTCAAGCGAGCACTGCGACTAGTTGCCCTATTCTGAGAGAGTAACAGAAGCAGAATATGAAGACGCATGACGACGAATGTATAGTGTGTGAAACGAACATGCGAACTGATATGAACTGATTAGCCTACGTAGATTGTCTAGTAATCATGGATGCGGCTGCATGCGGTGCATCACCACCACATTATTTATTACATGACCTGTGCAAACCGGGCATGGTCGTCAGCCACCTGCATGTTCTATGTGGCAAACAATGTTTGTTGAAGACACATAAGAAAAAACACCCTAAATGTCGCCCTCCAAGGTTTTGGGCAATCCTGCCAGCACAAAGGCAAGAAACAATCTCCTTGCTCTGCAGCTTTAGCAAGCACGCAAACATCTTCCTTAGAATCAATAAATGATATCAGGAACAAGAAGCTACTAGGGCTCCTGGCATCGCTACTAGGAGCAAGGACGCTACTAGGGGCTTCTGGCCGTACTACTAGGAGCTGCTACCAGGTTTGAATGACAAAGTGCAACTCCTCTTGTGCTCCAGACTTCTTGGAGCCAATCATGATAGTAGCTACTTGCTCCTAGTAGCGATGCACTTGTTTCTACTAGCTTCTTGTTACTACTAGTAAGGCACTTGTTACTAGTAGCGATGGCCTCCAACCTAAGAGCGATGGCCTCTGGTGTTCCGAATTCTCTTAAACAAGTCGAACAAACGGTTTTAAAGTTTAAACACATGTAGGCTCCTAGTAGCGTCCTTGCTCCTAGGGTCCTAGTAGCGATGCCCTTTGCTCCTAGTAGCATCCTTGCTACTAGGCCATCAGTTCAAATGCTCGTCAAGGATTGTCAAGCAATTTCTTGCTGCAGGCCAAGCTTCAACAGGATCCGGCAGGGCTTCATCTAACCCTGCTGGTTCTCCAGCAAAAAGCATTTGAAGAGAGGAAAAAGGCACAGGGCATCTCGGGCTTTGTTGGTCGCTCCTCGATGCAACTGCGCCTGCACTACAAACAATAAATACCTATTTTAGGGTATTGGAAACAATTGTGTCCAAAACATTTCTTCCTAGAAACAACTAATTCTGCTTCTTTCCTCGTTCCTTGTTCTTTTCTCGAGACCTCTAGACCTGTCCTTTTCGTTCTCACTTTGGTTGGAACAAGGCCTGTATTGGTCTCGACATCATGCTTGCTTGAGAACAATTCATGAGAGTGGATGCGCGAGTCACAAGCACTTGGTACACTTGTAATGTTGCAAGTGCTACCATGCACTGAAGAAGGTATGCCAAACTGCCTTGTCTGCCTTCTTTCATCCCGTGCTTTTTGTGTTTGTTGTTCTTCAATATGAGTGTCTGCCAAAACGTCTTGTAATGAAGAGAACATGATTCAACAAGGATATCGCTTTTGATGGGAGTGTATTGCTTTTTCAGACCCCAGCCACTCTTTCAACATAGCTGCACATATCCAAAAACTGCTGCCCTGGTTATCGTTTTTGAGGGGCCAATCGCTTGTACTGGTTTTGGCCACATTCTTGAAATTCACGATCGCTCTTTCCTAGATTGGTCATCGCACGTTTTGGCGGTTGCGCAGTTAGGGTGTCGCAAATGCACACTGAGCGCAACTCTTTTCTCCGCCATCAAACTGTACCACACAGTAGGAATAGTTGTCCAAACCGGCGCGTTCCAAGCCGAAGATGTCCGTTGTGAGGGGGAACTCATGGTCGGGTGACGAAGATGTCCGTTATGAGGTCATTAACGAAGAAGTCCTCATGGTTTCTCTGAAGGAAGCCTTTGGACAAATTTCTGGGAATGGAAAGTGAGTCGTCCCAGCAAGTGTGACTGTAAACATCTGTAAACATCCACCTCAGCCAAAGAATTTCTGATCTAAGGCTGCGAAGTGGAGATCCAGCAGCTTTCCGTACTCCTCGCGTCAACAAAGATTTACAGCAACACTCCATGCTCAGTTGACAGCATGCTGATGCATGCTGCATGCCACACCCTTCGACACTTTCCGCTCCTCCCAGTTCACAGTTCCTCGGAAGAAATTGCAAGACAAGTTTGCCTCCAGCAAAACCTCGGGACAACGCTGCCACATGCTAAAATAATCTAAAATAGCTTGAACAGTCTAATGTCTAAGCCATACTTCATCTTCGGAAGAAAGCCCACCACAATTGAACCACACAGTCTTCTTTCTTCCATTCTTCCCTTTGGCTCCATGCCAACTTCGCCGGAGCCTTCGGATCCTCCTGAATGATCGCATTCATCATATGAGTAACTTGCATGATTTTGCAATGGCAATGATCAAATTAAACAATATGAACCCAAACCGAGGTGGGAAAAGCGATGTCGAATGCAGTTCAGTATCTCGAACAATTTGTTCTCGATTTGAAGCGCTACAACTCAGCAACCTCCAAGTCTAATTCTTATTGGCAGCTGTAGGAGCGAGCAAGAAACCCTGACGTGGATTCGTGCAACTACCCTCATAATGTCAATGAATGGCAACCGCAGCTTGTCACTGGGCGGTCCATCACAAGTCTTCGCTCCCGAAGTGAGCCAACAGCACCACAAAAGACTTGGCGTGTCTCGAAGGGATTGTTTCTACGTGCGACGTGCAATCTCCATGAATCTCCTCGGCTACGAAGGCAACGTCCCAGCCGGCTAATGGAACCGAGGGAATGAGGATCTCGTGTGAGCGCCTCAGATTAAACCAGATTAAACCCACAGTCGGTCTCAAAATTTGTCACATGTTCAAAATAGACTGAGCTTGCACTAATCAATCGCAGGTTCCTCATTGAACCCTTCCAAATAAACAGCGGAGGCCTTGAGAAGCTCTTGACCGGAGGAGCATGGGTGTCCAAAAATGATCCAAAAATGTCCAAGGGAAAACCAAACTGGTTCACAGCGGAGACAAAAAGCAAAACCTGGAAGACCAATCAACATCAATCAACTCTACACCAAGTGGGGCACAACACCATGATCCTCTTGTGGCCCTTGCATCCCTCAAAAACAGAGGGTACGGTTTGATCATGTTTGATCTCCCCAATCATCCATCCGAAATCATCCCATCTCCAGCTCACACACCGCTTTCAGCCGCAGGGCTCACACAGTTCCAAGGCCTCTTTCACCTTCGGTAGTTTGCATCCACCTGCAGCACCGTGAGCGTCTGTTGAGCAAGCCAATGCACACAGCCCACACCCGCTTCAATGCCGTCAGAGCCACACAAAGAAAGCTCTGTATCTGGATGATGAGCAATGCCTCACATAGATTCGCCATAGCTAGAAATCTTGAACAAATGACTGTCTAAAGTTTGGTGGATAGGCTGGACAGGCTACAAGGAGTGAACACCTGTGTGAAATCAAATCATGGCTGCTTGATGCAGAAGTCTATGCATGCATCGTAAGCAAAGTCTGCAATCAACAGGAGACAAAGCGAAGTGGAAAATGTTCCCGGGCAAAAAGACCCCGATGAAATGTAGAAACATTGAAGATTGGCTCTTTGGCTACTAGGAACAAGTGCATCGCTACTAGTAACAAGAACATTACTACTAGTAGCTTCTTGCTACTCGTAGTAGTCCGAGTTGAATGAGTCGAAAGTTCCGAGTTGCTTCCATCTGCTGTGCTCAAGGGCTTTCCCAAAGACTTGAAGCCTTGCCTCGAGAAACGTCCCGACTCGGTCGACTGAGTTTGGCTAGTCCGCGTCCCTCAAGTCGTTGTCGATAAGAAAAAGGCTGCTCAATCCGTTGCATACATGTTGCATACTAATTATGTAATATTATGATGTATATATATGTTTATATTTATATCATTTTCTATCGGTATAGCACTCGAAAGCTGATTTCAAGTCACTGACGTGCTGCTTCCAAAAAGCACGCATAGCTTTCCCGCTTCCTTTGGGCTTCCATGCGCATACCAATGGGCAGAGCTGGAGCCTGTTCCAAGGGTCTGTTCACCCCGGGGTTGAGGGACATCCTCAGCACCATCTCGAAGCCAAGTTGGAGGTGCACGAGTTTCGTTTGCCTACATAGCCTTTCTCCGTACATCTTTAACCTTTGGCTTGCTGGCTTGCCACAAACATGCACGTGTCCAACCTCCAATGTAGATCATGTGACATCACTCTCACGAGTTGCACTGCATATTGCCGCGGTTGCACTGCCCTGAGGACGGACATCGTCACGCTGCACCTCCCTTGAGGTCCCCGACCACCATGACACAGCTGTGATCAGTCGAGGCCCCTGCACGGCCGGCGCGCCAAACCTGGCCGTCGAGAAAGTGAGTGCGACAAATGTTTAAAAAAAACATTCAGTAACAACAAAGAACGTGCTCACCTGGAGGATGGTTTTTGTTTCAAACCCGCCGACACCGCGGCACAAAGTGCATTGCAAAGCTTCTTTGTCTCTGCAGGGCGGCCTCAGCCCACGAGACGAAACATACCGTGTGTGGCTCCGCAAAAACATCCAGCATAAATACAGAGCACCGGTCTTGAGATCTTGTGGGTCTAAAGAAATAGAAGCTACTATAGGGGCTGGCCATACTACTAGGAGCAAGGACGCTACTAGGAACCGTCTTCTATTTGTTGTAATTGTCTCGAGGGCCGGTATGGTCCGATCGTGGCTATGACGCATCCCTCATGCGTCGGGTTCAATCACGGGGTGCAACACTAGGCGGACAGGCGAGCCTGTATAATATCAATGTTGTAACTGTCTATGTGTTTCATTGTAGTGTCAATTTTAACTAACACTGTCACAAATCTATGAAAATATTATGTGAGGTTTGATGTTTGGGCCAACATGTGCAATCATTTTTTAACAGCCATACATCAACATACATAGTAAATCATAGTAACGACTCAAAATTGCTGTTGGCTGTTGACTTGTTGAAGTGCCCTTTACAACTTGCAGGATCCCAATATATAGTAATCGAAACTTGGTTCTGAAAACCCGAGCAGCCTCGGTCAGCTCACAAGGCGCACGAGATTGTAGTCATCAGTCTTGACTTTCGAGGGGCCCAGTTCTTATTCGGCTTAGGTTTTGACCTCGATTGCCCCTTATATTAGTAATCTTAGTACAAGAATGCTTCCTGAATGGGTCTAGGATGGAGTTCAAGAATCACCATCGGTGCAGCATAGACGCCGAGCAGTGCCAAAGCTCCATACGAGCCTGTCACCTTGAACAAAACTAGGCGCCATCATGTAGTGTGAAGAACATTCACTCGGGCGCTTGTGCTGTTGTCTGTCGTTGCAAAGAGCCTACAGCCTGCAGCACCTTGCTTGTAAGCTTCAAACAACCCGCATCGTTGACAATGGACTGTCCTCGCAAGAAATTGACATGCTGGCGTCACATTGGCACGTTCAGTCTTCTGCTTGCACCTGCTAACCACTGACCGACTTTGGTATTGCAGTGTCAGAGAAAGTGATAGACTCTGTCAGTCGAGTGCACACATGTATCTATCAACGGCGATTCATCCATGCAGACTCTGCAGTTCTACAAGAATGATCTGTCTTTATCCTTTACCACAGCTCAACGCACCTTAGGAAGGAGCTGTTGCACGTCAGGGTGATTGTCCAACTTCTCCTGTACAGTAACAAGGCTGCGGGGGCCGTCGCTAGTAGGTGGAGGCCATCGCTAGTGGAGCCCGTTGTTTTGACGTCTGCTAGCAAATCGGGCTGATGAAGCTGAATTCCCTGCAGAACAACATGGCAGAACTACAGCTACAGTACAGCCATGGTTTTCATGTGCAGTGATAGATAGTGACAGTGATAATCATATGTCTTGAGGGTCTCTTCTTGAACAACATAGATCCGATTGATCAATACTTGGTCTCTTCTTGATCGGACTACAAAACAAATAGTGAAACATTGCTTGGGGCGTCCTGCGAGACCTGGATTGCCCCTGAGGCTGCTGCGCAGAGAAACACCCGACGGCCCTGTTCCTTTTTGGAACGTGGATAACCGCACAGCACAATGTTTCGAGATGACCACTCTTTGGGAAAGCAGTAGGCACTAACTTTCCAAGACTTTGGCAGTCGTGGTTCAAACAAGTCAGTCGAATCCCCATCAAGACGTTGCAAGCGCAACGCGTTGATGGCGAAGGCCGCTGAGTCCGCAATATCTGCTGGTAGACCATCATTCTCAGCTAAACTTTGCAGAACAAGCAGCTCTGGTGTGGTTTCGCTCCGGAGATGGGGCAATGACTTGTAGCAGCATGGGCAAATGCCTCAACAAGGACAGTCAAGGGAACAACAGTTGACTCACTCGTTTCAACGTTCAAAGAGTATATCTGACTTCAACTCACCTGTTTGGACATGTTTGGACGGCCAAAAGATCCAAAAGGACTGCAGGCTGAGGTGCAAAAAGGCGCTTGGCGCCGCTGGCAAGCATCAAAGGCAAGGTCGCTTAAGCCACCGCAGGCGTGCAACGCTAGAATTGCAGCACTTGCGGTTGTTAAACGAAATGACTTCAGGGCCTTCCACAATCACTTCAGAATCTTTTGGGAATGTCGAGTTGTGATAGACAAGGTCCGGACCTTACTAAAAACAAGAAAAACGCTCTGCAAAACTCGCACAAAACGATCTGGAGCCATCCAAGGGTCCGTTGCACTTGACTCAAGGAAGCGAAGGTTCAGATCCAAATCCTTCGCCCGAGCTCGGCCATGCGCCACGCTTGGCCCGAAAGACTCCCAAACATGGACTTGGAGGCGTGGCAAGGCAGATGACACGGCCAAAGCCAGGTCACCACGACCTCCTCCCACGTCATGAACTTCCGTAATCTTCAAGCCGACAAGATGGGCTTCTTGGACTAAGTTCTTGAACAATTTGGTCATGAAGCGTACTTGGGGCCGCTTCTTCCTCACAGCAAAATCCAAAAGCCATCTCCGACTGCCCAGATTCGACGCAGGATCTGGGAGATCTTCAGTGTCCAATTGCAAGGCCTCTGCGGGCACCATTTCATTCACGAGCAAGTCTGACCAGCCATGGTACCTCAGCGAGAAAGCGATTCGATCGCTACAACTGCAGAATGCACAAGATGGGACAAACAGTGTGACAGGATGTGACAGGTAACTGAAACAAACCTTCGCAGAATTTCGCCTGCATTTTTTGTGTGATTCAAGATGCTTATCGAGCACTTTCCATTGCTCTGAGGATAGCCTGGCCGGACGGCGGCGCTGGACACGGTCCCGGCCACGGCGAAGCACGCGAGTGTGGCGCGAGCAGAACTGGAGCCGAGACCGCCCATCGGGCTCGTCTAAAACCTCCTCCAGCTCTTCCAGCGACACCTGGAGACTTTGAGCAAACTACTTCCAGTGTCCAAACCATTGAAAGCAAAAGAATCACTGTACTTAAGCCTGTAGCGATGGCCTCCAACCTAGCTACAAACTTAGCAACGGAAATGTCGTCCAAAATGAGTGTTCTCAGCACACCGACTGAAACACACCGACTTGTTCAATGTGTGCATCCTTTTATGGTGAGGACTTGACAGTGTCCGACCTGTAGCCACTGGTGCAACTCTGCAGAGCTCACAAGACCAGTTGAGCAGTGTGACAGCAATGAATGCAGCAAACTGGGCTGCACTAAGTGTGGAAGGAGTCCAACGACTTGAATTTCGGAAGCGAAAATCGAAGCGCGTCCCATTCGAGTCTTGCCAGGGAAACCCGCCAAGCGAAGCTTTACGCCCGCTTTCAGAAGATCTTCAGGAGCCAGCGTGTTGTCTACAACCACTTGCAAAGTTTGCATCTCTGCAGCTTCATCTGGCGCCTGGGTCTCCAGAAATGTTGTGCGACGATGTCTCCTCGCTGACAAAACTCCAGCCGTGCCTGTGACTGCAGTTGCCAAACCTCCGCTCCGTTGAACAAACCCGTTGGTTTCTGTAAAATCCAAAAACGGTTCAAGCTGTTGTTTCGGTTTTTTTCTGTAAACCCAAAACCTCAAAGTGAGTTTTGGTTCAAGCAAAGTCAAGGCACGTGCGCCAAATGTCAGTCCCGCTGTCACTTCTGCGACGTCTTGCTGCAGATTCCAGGCACACGAAGTCACCCGCACAAGTCGTCGTGGCACTGGGCATGAAGTCGAAGCCGCGAAGCCGCTGGCAGCATATGCAATGGCATGCGATCGCATGGCATATTGAGTTTCTGAGAGAGCAATGGCTTGCAAGCAGAGCATGAGCATGATCCCACCTTGATCCCCAAATAAGTTCGGAAGCGTTTTGTGGTGACTTCTTGTCGCTGATTCCTGGGTTCAGGGAACCAGTAGGTCCTCAAAAACCATTGGAACATAGTATTGGAACCCATGAAGTATCCACAAAGTATTGTCGCTTTCCACTTGCTCTTGAAAACGGACTCTTCTTTTGAAATGTCCAATTGTTCCAATGACATGTCCTACCAATTGTTCCAATCATCAGTCCGCTAAAAGATTTAGGAACCTGCGATAGATAGGCAAGTATCAGATCACACCTACAAACTGACTGTAACCAGAGATGAAAAAAGGTTGCGGGGTCCTTTAAAGAGGCCCGATTCAAGAGGCCTTTAAAGCCTTACCTGTTTTTTCCATTTTTGTTTCTCGTGACATGGTCACCGAATGTCACCCTTTCACCATCTTCACGAACACAGCGGCGGAGCGCAGTTTCGTCCTGCAAAAGCCAGGCTCCACCATAAAGGACGTTTGGCAGGACGTGGATGCCCATGCCTCCTTCCTCATTCACGTCCTGCGTTGACCATCAACCACAAGTCACAGGTCTTCACGTAAGACCTACTCTCCGATGCTGAACCCCTGCACAGTTGCTCACTGCATCTGAATGACTCAAACATGTCTATTTATGCACAAAGCCTCATGCGATGTGCCCGTCTAAGCTGAATGTCGACAAATCAATCTGAGCAAACTCCCAAATCTGAAAAATTAAATAGGTTTTTTGAGAAAACGCTGAGGCTTGTCGTCTCCATGAGTCTGTCCTTCGCAACGAGAATCTTTGGGGTTTCAAGCCTCGGCAATGGCTTTTCATGGTTTCCTTTGGTCCAAACCGATGGCAAATCTTCCCCAAATCTCTAGTGCATATTCTCGGTGAAGCTACTAGTAGCTCCTGACATTACTAGGAACAAGAAGCTAGGAACAAAGGGCATCGCTACTAGCAAGGACGCTACTAGTACTAGTAGCTAAGGGCAGCAAATCACTAGCTTTAGTGTCGGATTGAGAAGCATCCACCCTTGCACGGCCCGTTGAGACAGCGCATCGTTGGCACAGCGCATCGGTGCCATAGATCGCTACTAGGAGCGGCATCGCTACTAGGGGCTCCTGGCCATACTACTAGGAGCAAGAAGCTAGGAACAAGGGCATCGCTACTAGGAGCAAGGACGCTACTAGGGGCTCCTGGCATCGCTACTAGGAGCAAGGGCCTTACTACTAGGAACAAGAAGCTACTAGGAACATCCTTCACCGCAGGAACGTACAACTGGCCCCATCCGGCCCCATCCGGCCCCCGGACGCTGGAGTTGTTGGCAAGCCATTGTCCTTCAAGGCAATCTCTTGGTTTGAATACATAAATTCAAATGCAGTCGGTGCGTCTATGATGCTGTCGTTTGCCTTGCAAATTCATCTAAGCTCCTCTTTGACCCTGAAAAAGAATGTCATGCATACAGTTTCTTCAGGCATTCATTCGATGCATGGGCCCTTCCACAGCCTATGTGGAAGGGAAACAAAGGGTAACGGCAACATGTCTTAAGAACGAAGCAAACAAAGCAGCCTTCAAAATAAAGAATGAGACACCATGCATGAAACAACACACTTTTTTGGGGGTTCACTTGGTTTGTCTCCCATTCACTCGGTGGTCGTCAACTTCGAGAATCGACAGGCTCTCCAGACAGCCCTTGATGAAGTTCCACTTGCTCTCCATGTCAAAGTCTGGGCTCTTTGTGGCCAACGCTGTCCTTAGAGCTCCACACCAAGCCGCTTAGAGCTCCATGAGGGAAACTTGTTACTAGTAGCAAATTAGCTACTAATAGCGATGCTCTTCTTACTAGTAGCGATGCACCTTGTTACTAATAGCTTCTAGCTACTAGTAGCAATAGTGATGGCCTCCAACCTAGTTAGCGATGGCCTCCAACCTAATAGCGATTAGCGATGGCCTCCAACCTGGGCTGATCAGAGAGAGAGAGAGCGAGAGAGAGAGAGTCTAAGCAAAGTTCTGTGGCTGTGCCAACTTGATGGAACGCCAAGGGACATGGATGCTAAGCGACAGTTCAATCTCCAAAGCTGAAACCAATCTCGCGGTTCCAGGAGACTCCTGAAACGAAATCTATTCAAAGGAAGAACAAAAAAGAACAAATGCAAAAAAACACATCAAACGACTCAAAGGTGAACATCCAAATCAAGTCAGCTTCAACAGCCTGACAACAGAGCTAGCAAAATCAGCTCACAAGTGGCTACGTGCTCCACGTTTCAATACATTTGAAGTTTCCTTGAAAATTTGCATGCATGATGAACATCCGTCAGTGCTTGCATGCGTCGAGAGAAAAGACACAAGAGGATTTCAAAGAACAGGAGAAAAGTCCCTTCATGTCCCTTTCTCAGAGTCTTTGTTCCTAGTAGCGTCCTTGCTCCTAGTAGTAAGGCCAGGAGCCCCTAGTAGAGTCCCTTCAGAGTTCCTCCGTCCTTCGAAAGCACGCATAGGCAAAGTCCAGGCCGAAGATCCTGCTTTGAGCGTCGTGAGTCAAGGGCTCACTGAGACCTTCCGGCCTTCTTGGTTGAAACCTTTGGAGCTTTAACCACAAAGGCTATGGTGACTACTGTATGACTTTCTAGTGGTTCCCTGTTTCTTTACATAGTTCAGACTACTTCCACGACAAAACCAACGGACCTTTAAGACGAGCTGCCTGTAAACAAATTGTGACAGGACCTCCTTTGCAGTTGCAATTGTTATGCTGTGTTGTTTGTGTATTGCCTGTGGGAACTCCATTTTGTGACCTCAAAGGCAGGCTTCACAAGATTCCCTGCAGTGGTATCATTCCCCTGTGAAACATCCCAAGGAGGAGAGCTTGGGTTTTGATGTGCTTCAAGCAGGGCGTCGAATTGTATGACGAAGAAGCATGAATTCTTTGTTTCTAATAGCGAGGGCCTCCACCCTAGAATCATAAATTTAGTCCAGGCTGTGCCGTATCGGCCATCATGCTCGGGTTTGGGGGCAACTGATCCTCGGTTGTGATCAGTCAAGGGTCAAGGATCAGGTGTGAAGTCACATCCTTTGGCGCCTTCGGGTTGAAATCATAATACTTGCTCCTAGTAGCGATGCCAGGAGCCCCTAATAGCTTCTTGTTACTAGTAGTTAATGCCAGGAGCCCCTAGTAGCGTCCTTGCTCCTAGTAGTAAGGCCAGGAGCCCCTAGTAAGAAATATACTTAGTTTTCTTGCAACATTTGAATCGCCCACACTGACCCCCCACCTCCGATACCATGAGCCCACAAACGCAGCAAAAGGAATCACAAAGAGGATTGCGACCTGAGCAGAGATAGCCGGTGTGATAACGCGTTGCATAATTATCTAGATCAAATTGACGCAAAGTTGCATCAAATTGATTTGTGATTCAGTGACATATGCTACTTGACGATTGACATTCTTCAGCAAATTGTCCAATGCGAAGACCTAAAGACTTTCTGACGAAACTACCCGAAGCCACAACTTATCAGGAAAGTCCGTTCAATGCAAAGCATAAGCACAAAACCTGGGTCGGCTGGCTTCCGTTTAGGACCTTTCCCTATGGACGACATGTCGAAAAAGTCGAACTGCACAGGATATGCGGCAAAGCTCTAAGTTCTAGACCAAAGCATGCAGGCGGCTGTAGGCCCAAAGAGAAAGAGGAACGCCATAGATGCCAGTTGGCCTCAAAGAAACTTGATAGAAATCGACCCAACCCAAGCAATCCAAGCTCCAACAACACAAAGCGATTCACCCTGCTCAGTTCTCCTTGCAGTCTGGATTTCAGAAGTCTGCACTTTCTCCCACTGAGCATCATACAAGACCACATTGCGCAAATTCGTCAGCATGTCCTCCTTGAAGGTGCCTGAAGCTTCATTGGAGGCATTTCTCGAACATCGACAACATCAACAACTGAACAAATTGTCGCAAAGAATCTCGATTTGATATTTGTGCAGTTTGGGAGATGTGAGACGTGTGGCCTGTGCGGTAGTGAGGCTTGGTCATAAGCCATGGCACCATGGCAAGGCTGTAAAGATGGCCACCTGGATCAATCACTGGGAACCGATGTGGCAAAACCCTCGCAGAACCCCGGCCGAGTACCACAAGAGTACCACAAGTTCTTGAGTACTCAAGTATTTTAAGAGATGGCCGGCCTCCAACCCAATAGCGACGGCCTCCAACCTAGAAGCGGGCTCTAGAAAAATAGAAGAATTTAAAATATGTCACCGGCTGTTATGTTCTCGTAGCTCACCATGCGGACCCAGAGGTGACAAATCTGATGCGGCCAAGTAGCTGCTCATGCCGCTCAAGCCGAATCGTGTCTTCGCATCGGCATAGCGGCCACCAAACCAGAAAAAAAACCTCAATCACCAGCACTGGCAGCACTGGCAGCACTTGCAGCACTCGCACTAGCTGTGGTAGCGTTTGGACTCGATTGTGCTGGCTGAGACATAGATGAATGGTAGACCGAATTGTGATTAAATCTATATATACCCAAATCTGCGATTTCCTGCATGCGTGAATCACCGAGGTTTGGCGACTGGCACCGGCGCCTACACACAACTTGCTCCAAGTGACAAAATGCGCCAGTAGAGCAGCAAAGGTGACAGCATGGGGAAGACCATTAGCCCCAGTACCAAAAGAACTGCCAACATCGCCAGCAGCCCTGGAAGGCAAGGATGAGGGGCGCTTGCCGCAAAGGAAAAGTCTGTTGTTCAGATCGTCAAACATCAAAGCCTCTTTGTGTCAAGTACCCAATGCTAGACGTGAGGACTCGTGAGGACATAGGGAATTTGTTTGCGAATTCGTACGAAACTGGAAATTCACATTCGGAGTTTGGTTTTGGACTCTCCAGGTAATGATACCCAAACAATTTAACAGCTTTGCCGCTCAAGCAGCCTCGCCTCCACTGACATCATCTGGCAACCTGCCATGATTGCAAATCCCACATGGACTGACCCTCAAAGGTGCTCGTACATCGATGGCATCATTTTGCAATACGCACTCAACGATCAAAGTCAATCAGGTCCTGCACGTTTGCAGGACGTTTAAAGGTTCCAGTGTATTGGCCGCAACCCTTGTTTGTTTCACTTTCACTATGTTTCAACTGATAGCACACAAACCTGGCTTGTGCTGTTGGCAAAGACTGGTGGCTGGACACAACGGCAAGCACCAGAAGCAAAGCCTAAGCGAAACACCACGCATCCCGAAAATGAATGTGACCTAGTATACTGGGTTCGAAGGATCCCAAGGCCATCAT